TATCATTTGATTTTCTATTCCAAGTATACCAAATGTTATCAAACGGGCCATTTAGTAAACAGAATACCATGAGAACTCACGGTGAAACAAAACAGACCGCGTGAAGGATGTAAGAATGCAAGCAACCTACCCACCTTTTGTTATCGTTTTGCGTCATAGTGATTGAAAGGATGGCACGGGTTTTCCGTGCCAATGATATCTAAGAAAAGGAAAATCTATACTCGATATAAAATTCTACAAACCCAACAGACTTGTTTTGCTATGTCTCTTGGCTCGCTTACAAATTCATTTACTTCAACAAAAAATACTCGGCGCACTTCAACCTCTACTTCAGCACTGCGAAACTAAAGCTTAACTCCCTTAATTAGATTGCCCAATTACTTTGAAAAGAGCGTTATTTTGCGGCGGAATCATTTCTTTGGGTAACGCAGCGATGGCATGACAACAGCAATTTTTCCTTTGACTCCATGAATGAAGTCGCTCCACTTGTATATGTTGTAGTTCAATTTTATAATTGGTTCAAATTTTATTTTCCTTTGTTCGCGATCATGTTAATGTATGATAATGAGTTTGAAACAAAGGAAAATAAAATATGAACCAAGTATAAAAACTGAACTACAACACTAACATTACCCCGCCCCGCAAGGCAAGATTGCGAGAGCGTTCGGATCTCTGTTGCAGGAAGGACATACGACCACACATTCATGTTTGTGAGGTGGCCTAAGAACGAATGATCTTCTGCAAAGTCTCCTCAAAGTGAGTCTTGCTCTCGTTCTAGAACCAAAGAACCTCCTCCCCTAATCGTATAGCCCTTTTTAAGACCACTGCTGTACGTGAGGAGGGTTCCATCTTTGTAAAACTGCACGGCACCATTACTGTTCCGCCAGGTGAAGCAGAATTGACGGCTATCTCCCATCATTAGCTGACCCGTGCATTATCCTGTCAAAAATACAGAGACGATGTACTTTGTTGGAATAGCTCCAGCAGGATTTAAATCATATAACCAACTGCATTTTTTTCCTCATTCAGGCGCCCCAGAATTCATTTAATTGCAAGCTAAACGTTGAGCATTTTAAAAAAAATTTCCTTTGACCGGCGAATAAGGTCTACAGGTTAAACTTTCTCATGCTTTACCCCTGAAAGCAAGGCTTGAATATATATTGTCAATGGTGAACCATAACGACACGGCGAATGACATTATTAGGGAATAACATATGGGGTACCTAGGTTTCCTTCGATCGTTGTGGCTTATAACAGTAGTTTATGCGAGATTTGTTGCACAGAAGAGCCATTATGTTAGAGATCGAAAATTTAGAGTTTTATTTTGTGCCAATTGTTAACTGTTGCAATTTATTATTGATATGGCTAAGTATTTAAACGTAGCTGACCTATGCTCACTCCCTGTCCAAAGGCAGAAGTCTCCATACCTAATGATCGTGAGCTCATTATCACTTCCCGCTACATTGTAGCTGAATGGAGTACCCTCATTAGAAGCTGTTGATTTCATTCAGAAGCATATAGAGAACGCTCTCAAACTGGGCATAACCCAGATGTATGTGTAAGTGCCGTAACATCTTCGTTCGGGAAATAGAGAGCGTAACTTGTTTAAAAGGTAAAAAGAACGAAAAATGAATGAGATTTCCATTTCCTTCTTATTTACAGAGGTGCACCCAGTTGAATTGGGCAGTTACTGTTGTATTTCTCATTATTATCCAACTGCACAAAGTAGAGTATAAATAACGCGCAAATACAGCAAAAAATATCGTACGATATTGTATAGTTGGCTATTTTGTGCTGTAAAAAAAAAAACATTTTAACCGGTCGACTACGTGCGCAACGCTTCGCTTTGCTTTTCCCACCTCATAAGAAACGAGCAGAAATACTTAGCAGACAAAAAAAAAACGGTAATAAATAACTTATTTTGACGTTTTGGTGTAGATCGGTACTTTAACTCGCCTTACGGGCTCGTCAAAGTACGGCACAACTCGTAAAAATACTCAGCGATACTAACACACCAAAATATCTGATAAGATATATCAACAACTTAAATAAAAGCATAATGTTATTTCCCCGCCTTGTTTCTTACCAAGCTAAGAGTTTGTTCCTTCCAAGATCAATATATAAACATTTGGTATTCAGGCAACTACAAGGCGTAGGGTAGACATGGAATAATTTCCTTAATTTGGAGTCTTATACTTTAATGTACTTATAAAAAATAGAAAATAAAAATGTCAATAACCACGAGAAAACCTTTGCAGGGAAGGGAGACAAACAATGTTTTTTGTTTACATAGCAATATGAATTTGTGATCTTTTGTGTAAAGGAACTGAAAAAATGAATACTAGTCTATTTTAGGAAACGACGGAGTGACAAGCAGCATTAACTACGAAACTCTCTCTTAATAATGTGTCTACTTCCAGTCCCAAACATTTTGAAAAACACGGCCTTTGATGGAAGTCCATCGTACGTCTAGTGATCTGTTAGCTATAAATCTAACTAAGATACAAAATTTCCAACCAATGTCATTCTTAACTTGTCATTTAATAGCCTGGCTTTATTCAAACTCGCTCATGGAAGGAACAGACTTACTAAATATTCAGCAGAAGACTTTTCCCAATCTCACCGCACAAGGTTACGCGGCTTTTAATATAAAGCAAAGTAAATTGTTCGCATTATTTGTAGCTCGTTGCGTGCTAGCAATCATCCCTAAAGTTGGACCCCCGTCATAAACGAATGTACGTCACGCTTTCCTTACATTATCCCCGGTTACCCTCGATGACTCTATTAATTAACACCAGTTCTGATTTAAAGGAAAAAGTTATGAGGACAAAATAAAAGTGGTCTGTACCGCTAAGCATGCCTTCACGGTTTAGACTGGGAGTCCCAAAGTTTTTTAAGCAAGTATTCTAATATCTTATGACGATAAGCCCCCACCCACCCAACCCCACACCGTTCTGTTTTCACTCAGCTGCTGGCCAGCGGTCCATGTATGAGGTAAACATGGCGATCCATTACTGAACACCTTTCTTGTCGATCAGAAAATCAAATACCAGCATGATATTGCCTCGAAAAAGAAGCAGTTGTGTTATTTGATTCGTACTTCACAATTGAGTCCAAGCTTGGGTGACACAGGTTATTTCTTATGGTGGACTGACGAGGGGAATTTGAACACTAGTTGTGTTTGAATTGTTGGAAGAAATGGTCGCATGGGAATGTTGGAATGGTAAGTATTACGAATAATTTCACATTTTGCTGCTTGAATAGAAAGTAAAGTTTATTTGAATTGCTTTCGCATGTATTTCTGACGGTTTTAGATCTACCCTCTCGATTTGTGTCTGCAACGCTTCATGTTCATAAGTCCCTCAAAATGGCGGCCAAACTTGGAGATTGCCGAAAATTAGGGAAGTTCGTGGAGTTATAAAGTTTTCGTAAAGGTCGAGCCGCACAGTTTTTTTCTGTAGTTACCTTTTCTGTGGCATCTACTTCCTAACTATGTTAGTTGGATCAGTTAAGAACACCTCACTTTTTCAAAAATTTACCTTGAATTTGATCGGTTTTCGCGTGTGTGACTTAGGCGAACCGATAAGGCATCTTTTAAGTCTTCCTGTTTCCTTGATTGAAATGTGATGTTCACGAAAGTCGCCTCGATCGATAAGATAGAATTAATACACATGGCTGTGGTATTTGTTTTTTGCTGAGTTCCGTAGTTTTTTTTAAATTGTCCTCCAAAGTTGTCTCAAATTAAAGTCTTGAAAAGTGTCACGACAGGCCTTCGCTCGAGTGAAATTTCATTTCCGTAAAAACTTTGAAAAAATAAAGAGATCCGATTAAACGGTTTGTGGTTTTAGTATAGGCACATGAATGTCTTACAACCCACAAGAAATTAGGGAAATCTGTGTCTCAAGCAAAATTGACCGCACCGCTTTTACAGAGACACACTCTTAAGAAGTCACGACGGCAACGCCACGGAAGACGTCGATTAAAAAATGAGTTCCTACTTTTAGTTAGAATTTCGAAAATGGCTGCATGTGTTTACTTTCTCATAGGGAGCCAGACCTCAAACTCAACATAACGCATAAAAGTAGCGTTGAGTTCCAAATGTAAATAAAAATAATTTGCCGCCACGGTTTCAGTTCGCAGACGACGCAAATTTTGGTGATTTCATGTTGTTGTTTTACAAAGGACGGCTAAGAAATGTACAATGTTTTAAACGCACGTGCTGGGCTATTGTTCTACCAATTAGATCTATTGTTTTTCCACGTTCTCGTTGCCTTCGCCGTCGTGGTTTGCTTAAATTCCCTATTAAGAGGGGGGCGGAGATCTCTAGACAATTGACTACCCATGAGGCGGGGTGCTTAATTGAAATGTTACAATGCCTCACGGGGATCAAGTTAATTGTATTGTGACATAATCCCCGCCCCCCTCCCCCGGGGGTAATAATAATGACGGGTGCCTTAACATTAAAGATTCGCTCATTTTGACGGACACTGATAAGAAAAAAAAAAAAAAAATTGCACATCACACTAAAACTAATCCAGACCCTTAAATACAAGTGACCGTCCAGAATATAAGAGATGTGACTGTAATGTTGACGATGTTAGAAACAAACTAAATTGACGGAATACCAAAACGAAACTGAAAAATGCTCGATATCACTGACATAACACTTAACCAAAATGAATTATTACTTGAAAGAATTGATTCATAAGAGTTACATAATGGTTGATAAGAATTTTTTTTTCGTTTTTGCATCCTATTTTCTTTGTATGGCAAATAGATGAACTTTTTTTAGACGAATATTTTAAGAGTTATTACATTTTCATTCATTTGTTTACAAATTAACCAATCTTAACCCTCGGACGTACAAGGGAGGAGGACTTTATGACTGTCCACCTCGGAAGCTTTTCGCTTATCTTGGAGACATATTTACTGTGAACTTGGTGGAGATCGATTCATAGAGCTTTTACCAATGAAGAAGGGTGTAAGTAAAAGACAAAAAATAACGCTTTTAAAGAGACTTTTAATCACTTTAGATGGAGGTTACTTAAACGAGAACTAAAATTAGGAACGAGGAACGGGGAACGGGAGTCTGGGACCAAAAGCACAGCAGTAATCCGCACAACGATTCAAAATGGCGAAGGAAAACATGGAAAAAGGGTTTGAACACTAGGTTAAGTAGGCGCTGTTTGAACTCGGTTGTCATAACAATCACCATATACGGAGGATAAGCAGAGATCTTATTGAAGGGTTCTTTACTTATCTTTGACGTCAAAAGTTAATTTTTTTTACTCTGATATAAATTGGACGTGCAAAAGAAGAGGTGAATGTAACGTCAACATTACTACGTAAACCAATTTTTAGTAACATCTTTTAAGATAGGGTCACTCTAGAAAGACCCCGGTAAGGCTCTAAGGGACCTTGTTCCAATGGATAACAGTGTACCACCAAAACGGAGAACAGCAGATGATACTTTGTCCCAAACGTATGTCAACCAGGGCTTGTGAACGCATTTACCAGTAATCTTGTTAGGGTTTTTTTCGGAGAAATAAAACTCCCAATTACCTTTTCCAGCGTTAACGACGAACTCTCTTCCTGGCATGGCGAAGAGAAATACAGCATTTGTAAGATCTGCTCCATCTTCCAGCGCCATTGGTAGGAAATTGATAGCAGCTTTTAAGAACTTTATAGTAGTCTGGTCGTGATCATTAAGATACAGCTTATTTTTCACTTTCATGATCTCATCTCCAAGAACAGGAGCTGTGATTTTTTTTACATTTATTCTGAATTTTCCTGCAAAATCCTGAAATCGGATATCCAAGACTGAAGTAAATATAAGCGCTAATCCTGACAACATATCGAATGGGCGCAAAGTTTCCGTCAGAAAAGTTCAAGTTTTTTATTAAAAATTCATTTTAAGACTGGCTGGTTTTGTAGTTTTGTATCTTTAAAGTCCTATCAACAAGTTCCGAAGTTTATATTTGTATGGATAAGTTTAACTTGTGGTCACTGAATCGGTTGCTTCGCTTGTATTTATATGTATCTTGAGTTTAACCTTATTTCAAAACAGTATTAAGAAACAACATTGAAAATACAGACAGGTATGGACCCACGCTATGTAGAAATTCAGACTATAAGCTTAATTAAGCTCGTAGAAGAAGTGGAGGTAGGAAGCTTACTTATTTGACCCTAGCTCCGATCGAACATAATTGTTGTTGTCTAACTGCTTCTCAGATTTTCTTAAATTTGTTCAGCCGTGCGTTATCTAAAACGAAGCTCAAATAATACTTACAGAAGCCATACTTTTATTGCCAATTAGGTTTCCCATGATGCGTCTTTTTGCCTTAATGAAAAGATCTCGAGTCCCTTAAAACTGTGTGACGAATGAGGCGTCTATATCCTTCTTTTTTGTTTGAACGCGTGTCCTCTTCTCCGCGACACCGTGAAGGCTTTGCACAGAGTAGAATCTTTGGCTGTCGATTGCCCTTTTTCTTCCTCTCGGATTCCACGGGTTTTTCCCTGACAACGTTCCGACGAGATTGTTTACACGTTGTAGCCAATGATACAATTTGTTTGCCTTTCTTTCACTTTTGATTTTGAAGACTTTTTTCCCCGGCTTTGTTTCGACCAGACTGTTGACATCTTGGAAGCCAATGAAACGTTTTGTTTGGATGACTTATTATTCACTCTCACCAGGCAACCCTGACATCTGTGTAATTAATGGTCGTATTTTACTCTATTAAACTAAAGGAAAAATCCCCTTCGATTTAAACGAGAATGAAACTGAAAATTGAATGCCATTCGGAGATAGAGCTGTGAAATTGCCTCGAGAACGTTCGCTCCTTGAAACCATGGGAAATAAGAAGTCTAGAATGACATCGGTAGTTTTATTTCGAAAATAGTATATCAGATCATTTCAAGATGGATTACAAACAGCCAATGGTTTTCTTTTGGTTTAGATAGCGGTCACAATAATTTATTCGCGCCGTGAAATTTGCACATTGTCTAACAGTACCGGAAATTTTGTATAAAACCTCATTATAACCAGGAATTGGCAATTCCTTTGGCTGCTGACCAGAGCACACAGTTTTTGCAAAACTTAAAAAAAAACTTATTTACAGTAAGTTCTAATTAAACCTAGCCCTAGTTTTGGTAGTCAAACCTTGGAAATGATGGAAATCGCGACGTGACACGTTTTCTTTAGTATTTGGGTCGCTGTCTAGTAATCCAAACTAAGACAAGAAAATTGTTTGAAGCACTTCAAGTCTATTCCTTCTTTAATTTCTCGCAGAAGAGTATGAGCCGACTTAGCACCGCATTGTTGCCTCCGTTCCCGCTTGCTAGTTCGTGGGCAAAACTTTCTGTCCATTTTGAAAAAAATTAAAAATTTCAGCTTCTTCCTTCGTTCATTTCGTGGCACGCTCGATTGCACGAATAAAAGGTTTGTAATTACCATAGCTCTGAGAAGAGCTCCTGAACATTTCATTCAAATTGGAGCCAACGATGGATTAATTTTGATCGATGGATTTTGAAGAAATTTCGAAGTAAAATGTTTAAGAAAATGCGACTGTAAAGCTAACGGAAAAGGTGAAGGGATCGTGAGGCCGAATAAGGCCGCTATTTATTTGAAATATCAGAGTAAAAAGGTAAGAAAAATCGGTAAATTCCACGATTGGAGGCGGGTAATCTTTAATTATCGATCGGTAACTTGGCCACTATATTTCTTTGGCCTAAAAATTCAAGTTTATCGTCAAGTTTACATAAGAGAAAAATAGTAGAAAATCTCTTTCTAAAGTTAATCTCACATCAAGTCTTTATTATCATGCAAGTAATTATTCTGTGGAATTTTGCATTTTGTCTCGGCTTCAAAGCTCCCAAATTTTGAGGTTTCAATAACTACTATTAAAATATTGCTTTTATTACGCCTGCAGATCATTTATTGACATTTTGGGAGGAAAAAAAGACAACCCAACTCCTGTAACTTTAGTAAAGCAGTATCTTCGATTGACAATTTTAAGACAAGTTTATATATACAATCTACGATCTTTTAGTACAAGTACTTAATAATTGTTCGCCGAAGGCGAAGTGAACATTCTTGAATGTGTAATATTTGCGCAGATCATGAGGTCAAGCTAGAGAAAACGTATTCTCTTGGGTGAAGTTAAAAATTCCGGAAACAAAAGCTTAATTCTCTATGCCCGCTAACCGACTAGCGTGAGGTAGTAAATATCACGTAATCCTCGAGAAATCAGAGCGCGAGTTTTTATCTTGGTGTAAACAAAATGAATCATTCCCTTAAAATTTTAAAGAAAATAAAGGCTTATGCAATATAAGAAAATTTTGTCGATTGTCTTAGAATTCCAGGCAGCACTCAAAGCTAGAGCAGATGGTGCACCAATGGATAACAGTGGGACGCATAAGCGGGAAACAATTGAGGTGATTCCATTCCAAATAAAACGCAACCAGGGCCTACGAACGCATTTACCAATGATGTTGTTATATCCTTCTTCGGAGAAATAATATTCCCAGTCGCCCTCTCCGGGCCCTAACAGTAAATTCTCTCCCTGGTTGTGCAAAGATGAAGAGAGCATTTGTGAGGTCGGCTCCATCTTTCATCGCTCTTGGCAGGAAATTGATGGCAGCTTTAAAAAATTTATCGTTGTCCGGTCGTGTTCAGTGAGGCGTCCTTTACTTTCTAATTTTCTAACCTCAGCTCCAAGAGCAGGAGATGTGATTTTGTAAACAACTATTCTAACGTTCCTCTAAAAGTCCTGAAATCAGAGAGAAACGACCGAGTTGAACATAAGAATCAATTATTGACAGCTTTCGAGTGGCATCCTCATGCACCGAGTTTAGAAAGGCCAGTTCGGGAATTTTTTTTTTTTTAAATCATCATTGAAAAGTATTTCAAGTTAGCAGTGCTGTGCCTTGATAAACACATGTCACTGAGCAAGTTTGCGAGTTCATATTTTTGAGTGTTTGCCTGTCTGCGAATGTTTATCTCTCGCCCAAAGTTTACTTCTTCTATAATGCTATAGGTGCTGCATCTCTTGCTGCGCTTATCTTCGAATCTATTCCAGGTGTAGTTGCCCCAGATTAATTGCAACGGTGAGCAATTTATAACATTCATGCAAGGTCAACGAACTCAAGCAAGTTTGGAATTCAAACAATCGATTACTTTCGCTCGGTTCGTACTCTTCTAATCACCGTCCACTCCTACAAAACCCCTTTATTTAAGCTCCCCATAAACTGAACCACAAGGAGGCCCAAGGCAACTTCAGTAGAAGACCTTAATTGGCAAACTCTCAGCGCCCCGGCCTTTAAAGCATGCGTGACTAGCTTAGCACCTCACCTAATTTTCTAAACCAGTTCATATTCTCTTGTCCAAACTTTATGTGATCGGCCAAAAGTAAAATCAGTACATTTAACTTAATTCTGTTGTCAATGCACTTTGATTTCTAGATCAAACGAAAACTCAAACAAGCACTTTTTTCAAGTCTAAACCGAAGGAAATTTTTTTCCGTTTTAGGAGCTGCTGATTACTTTAATTTAAATTGTTTGGAAATTTTTCTCTAAAAAACTCAATACTCACGGGAGACATCCTTCTATTTCCAAGTGGATTACACATTATGCGTCTACCTAGCTTAAAGAAGAGAACTTGTTGAAGTTCTTGCGACGAAATGTGCGGTTATATTCTCTTTCTCCCCGTTTCAATAGCGCTTCGCAGAATAACCTCTCCGGTTTCAGCGCATAGAGAGAGGGTGTTAAATTGTGTGAAAGCCCTAGCTGTCTGTTACCATTTATCTTGCTTTCGAATTCCAGGGTTTTTTCCCTTGCATTTTTTCGTTTCAATCTTTCATATTTTGCAGCCAGTGAAATATTTTGCTTAAGCTTTTCTGACACTTTCGATTTTCATGTGTTTTTTTCCCGTACAATTTTCGAACGTAACTTGAATTACTCTTGCTGACAAATCCCGACTTTCCGAGACAGTGTTCATTGTACGAGCGACCTTTGCACACAGTTCTTCTGTTAATTCCAAAGCGGTTTTTCCCTTGCATTGTTCCATTCATTTTTTTTAATTTTCTAGCCAATGAAAATTTTTGTTTTCATGACCTATTATCCATCCTCACCAGGAAACCGTGACATCTGTTTGATCAAGGATTATATTTTACGCACATAGCTAAAGGGAAAAACCCCTCCGATGAACATGAAAGTGAAACTGAAAAGCGAATCCTCCTTCACACAGTTATACCAACCTGTGTCAGACAGAACTGAGAAATTATCTCGAGAACGTTCTTTCCTTGTTCCAAACAATCATACTCACAAACCATGGGAAATAACAAGTCGAGAATGACTTCGGTAAGGAAATTTTTACTTTTCAAAATAGTATGTCAAAGCATGAAATTTTGGTCTTGATTTCCGAATTTCATGATTGATTACAAGTAGGCAATTGCAACGGTTTTCTCGTGGTTCTCGGGGGATTTAGACAGAAGTCACATAAATTCATATGCGCCATGTGTTTTGTACATTCGAGCCTGAAATCTTTAATCAAGGATTGACAATTCCTTGGGCAGCCATATATTTAACTAAAGCGAAGATTTTTTTTAAAATTTAGTGGTAACTTAGCTCCTGACAGTCATTTTTAAACCTCGAAGATGACGGAAATAGTGGCGTGACACATTTTCTTTAGTATTCGGTTCGCTATCGAGTATTCCAAGCGATTCCGCTTTGGAATGAAGACAAGAAATCTTGTGAACCAAGCCACGCGAACTATGAAAAATAGCAAAGAAACGCGTGGTCGGCAGAAGCCTCAGAAAAACGTGAAATGCCTCGTGAAAGTTTATGCGTCATTACGGCAAGAAATGTCGAGTGTCGACCGACATATCGGCCGAGTATCGACCGACTCTCGACCGACATATCGGCCGAGTATCGACCGACTCTCGACCGATATATCGGCCGAGTATCGACCGACTCTCGACCGACATATCGGCCGAGTATCGACCGACTCTCGACCGACATATCGGCCGAGTATCGACCAATTCTCGACCAATATATCGGTTGAGAGTATCCACAGTAAACATGATCTCAATTGTAATAGACGGAGATTGAAAAATCAATCATTTGTGATTGCGAAGGTGTTGGCAATGAGCAGCTTTTGTGAAGCTTACTGCACTGAAGTAATTGCAGCTATGCCATTTTGACATATCTTCTCCCACTGATAAATAGAGGAAGCGAATTGCTGACCAAAATCTATCCTCCCAGCTTAGAATTTGGGTCAAATTGCCAATTGTTCATTTCAGAGGGCCTGAAAAAGAGCGAGAAAAATAATATGTCTAAAATACGTATTATATCGCTTTTTCTGTTAGTGATATCCACAGCAGACTCGTGTGTGTGGAGGGGGGGAGGGGGGTAACTCCCCGGAGGGGTGAGGGGTAAGGTTAGGCTGGCTGATTTTTAAATATTGACCGTCAGAGTGATGATCATGATGAAAGCGATATAATGCTTCCTATTGGACCACGTACAATGACCTTCCATCCACTTTGCTCTTAAAGGATTACCCAAGAGACATGATATTCTATGTTAAGAAGATTTCATCGACATTCCTTGGAAGAGAGATTACCAAACGATGTGGAAACGAAGGGCAACATAACAATCTCGAGGAAAAAGACAAAACCACCTTGAGATTTCTGCAAGCAGCCATCTCGTACATCTCAGAGGCGACCGACTTGGGAGCAGATCTTTCAAATGCAGCTTTCATTTTTTCACAGCCGGGAAGAGAGTTTGTTATTCAGGCTGGAAATGGCGACTGGGAGTTCTTTTTTTCAGAAGATCTGAATAATACAATTCATGGCCACTGTGTTCGTAAGGGTCCAAAGCAGGCTTCCCGAGGTTTTTGGAATAGGTGCGGTTCCCCTAATCGAAACAATAGTCCCAGAACAGCATCAAGTCGAATAAATGGTTTGTTGGCCTTGCCGTCTGCTGCCTAGAAAACTGTTTTCTCTTGCTATACCTCTACAGAGGAAAAGATAAAATTCAATAAATACACGTATCTTCACTAGCTTGCTACTACAGTGACAAATAAATCCATAATTTATCAGGCAATTTGAGTTTGGTATTTGAAAATTTGTTCAATTTGATCCGGCCCGCAGTCAGACTCGTATCAATGGCCTTTAGCTTGTTATTTTTAATCTTTTCCAAGAAATGTATTCATTTTATTCACGGGTAATGTACTACCAAGTCAACAAAATTTGACAGTTTACCCAAATTTAAGATATTTGATGAAGAACAAACAGGGCTAGAAATGGCTGTTCATCGATAAATCAAGATAGTTACACTTTCTTTAATTTTAATCGAATTTCTATCTTTTCTCAACTCTTGGAGTACTCTGACTCCACAAGATAATGAAAATTGCCATTCCAAAATCTCTCGATCTGGAGTCTAATTTGTCACTTATGAAAGTGAAATGTAATCAAATGGTACGTGTCTTAGGGAATCATTTGACGTGAGTGTGTCCAAATTCGTGAAAAAAAACACTCCATCACCCTTTTATTTATGCGTGTTTGTTTGTTTGTTTTTTTTTTTTTAACTGAATGTCTTTTACAGTATGTTTGTGATTTTTTATATACCAAGTAAAAAATCAAAAACGAAAATTCAAAAGAAAAGAATAGGTAACCAAGGCTAGGAAGCTAGCTGAAATAGTTTATTTTTTTGTTTGAAAGTCCTCGGTTCTTCAGTGTTTCCCCTAAGTAAGCAAGAATATTAAAACCACGCACCGTTGCATGCAGCTGTTGAAGGTGGAGACTTTCTACAACTTCTTACGTTGAATAGTTAAATAAAGTAGCATAAACAATGACGGAACAGTTTGTTTTTACTTCTTTTCCTCTATTTTTGGGATGAGCATGATGGTGGTTGAATGTCTGGGTAGCTTAGTTAACTTTTTAACTCCCATGAGTGACCAAGACAGAATTTCTCCTTACAATATCAATACAATACCAGCAGAGACGTGATGAGAATAGAGAAAAAATATCAATTAATAAGGGGTTTTTTTAGGCTGGTGCAATACAAAATTCTCCCAAATAACGTCATAAGAACTGAATGACACACAGTAAGGAGAATCACAAATGAGATCATGGGAGTGAAAGAGTTCATTGTCTAATGTTGACCCTTCTGCAAAGATGCAATGCGGGGTAAACTAGTTTCTGAGAGGACCCACGCTAATGGCAAACACCACGACTCTTCTTTATTTCCCTTCTTCTTTATTGCTCCTTCTATGGCGAACTAAAATTGCCTCTCTCTTTTACTCGCCCTGATGCATACCCTTAATTTCCCTATTAGTAAGCATTTATTTGTATTAAACGTCTTGTTCAAAATACAAACCCTGCCAAGTACATTCCATACGAGTTCCTTAAGCACACACTAATATAACTATCGACGAATGTGATTTTTTGAGAAAACAAGTCTCAAAAAAAGCCACAGTCAGCACAAACTGTACTAGTTAAAGATGAAATGACGTGTTCGAGCTTGCGGGCTCTTGAATCTGATAAGACTTACAAAACGACTACGCCATAATCGGCTAAACATTTAACAATCGAGAAGAAACTTATTATTAAGTCCTCAACACAACCAGTTTAAAAACAAAAATTCATGTTCGAGTAATCAGACAACAGACCATTCTACAGCTTTGTACTTAGTTGCCAAGCTCACTCATTGTAGTGCGAGTAAAGATGACCTTGTCGTGATAGAGAACAGTATCTAGTTAGCTTGATAACAAAGTAATTTACGTGTGAAAAGCTGCAACGTTTGTATCATAACAAGATCACCCTAAGCCTCACTCCTGTTCAGAGGCTTGGCCACCTAGCGCTCGAGTATTCATGGTTATTAGTCAAGAAAGACATTAATAGGAACTTAACGTGAGAATTAAAATCCTGGCACAATCCATAATGAAGAACAAATCTTGATTCGTAATTAAAAAACAACACCTCACAAGACTTTCTTCTTCAGTTAATGCCTTTTCAAAGGGAGTTCGCGTATTTACTTATCATTACTCAATGATTTAATCTACAAGAATGGTTTTCAAAACAAACTAAGCGGGAACTAAATAGGCAACATCCGTTTTGTACATCGCAAAGAAATGAAGTATATATATGAACTATCTATATAGGAGGTATACAAGTACTTTTGGCTAATATGTTTTCTGTTCTAAAATAAACAGCTAAATTAGACATAACTTCTTTATTAAGCTCTCAAAGATTATCTTAGGAAGGCATCAAGAACTTCAAGGCTGATCCATCAATAGGCAAAAACGAGGCGATACGAGAAAAACCAGATTTGACTTTATTCCAGAGATACCACTGCCAGGGCCTACGGACACATCGACCGGTTATGATCCTCATATCATCCTCGGAAAAATAATACTCCCAGTCACCCTTTCCTGCTGTAACGACAAACTGCCTGCCTGGAGTGGCAAATATGAAAGCGGCATTTTCAACATCAGCTCCATCTTCCAGTGCCAGAGGTATGAAATGGATGGCCGCTTTTAGAAATCTGATACCTATTTGGTCGTATTCACTGAGACGTCCTTTATCGCGTATCTTTTCGATCTCATTTCCAAGAGCAATCGAGGTTATTTTCTTCACAGTAATTCTTAGGTCTTTAGGATAATCCTAAAATGATATTGATGTTATCAACAATGGGAGAAAAATCATGAGAGCAAAAGAAAATATCAGTTACAAATTCAACGCATCGCCAGAATCGGGAGTCTAACTCAAGCCGCATCTGTGGGGTGGCGAGAGCTCCCACTCCCTACTCCCCTAAAAAGAGTTATAGAAAACCCTCCACCCACTCCTCCCTCGAACGTTTCTGATGAATATTCGAACTAGAATGCTGGACTGGCTTGTAACGCAGCTCCGTGGTTAAGGCGCCATGGGACTAAAGTATTAATCTCAAATTCTGATCGGTCTTGGTATTACTTTCAGGTTCCCTAACTTGCTTGTTTTTAAATAAACTGAATCTTTTCTTAGGTTATTCTGTTGTGGCACTTGTCTCCAATGAATTAGTTGCCAGTGATCGGATCTTTGCGTTTGCACAAAGATTTCTGGGATCGCCACGGGGCAAACATTGCATACCGCGAGAAAGAAATGTACGGCGAAACGAGTAGTTTCGATGTTCGTATAAACGATTTCTGAGAGAGATTGATAATGCCTTTTCGCCGCAGTTTTATCATAGATAGTTTAAAATGATTTTGATACAAGGTAGGTGTAAGTTTTGGTTGGAATTACCACGAAATATGTTATAATGTATACCGATAAACTTCACTCCTTGCGTAAGGTCAATTGTCAAATCGTCATCGCGTAATGGTCTCCACATATTTCAAAATTAGCCCTAAATCGCTAGGGAATAACTCATATAAATCTTATCAGTTGTATTTATGTATGTAGAGCCTGTCTTCAAACTTGTCGACATATTAAATAAACAACTTACGACGTCCAAAAATATACCTCCTCAAGGGAGAGAAGTCGTTGTCAGCGTGATGGAAATGTTTTTTAACCGAGCTGTTGCTCTTTGAAACGATAGAATAAGCGATGAAAAACAAGAGGAAACCGCTGGGTCAAGCGTGGTTCGTTTGAGCAAAATGCAGACGTTTTTGAGCCGCCACTTTTCTCCTTAAGCTCCTTGGAGGATCTGTCAAGAAAGGCAAGATCACGGGAACTCCGGCAAAAGCTGTAGATTTAACTTCAGTCGTCCATTGCTCCTTAAGCTAGCCATTTGTACCTACTTATCATCGCAGAAGAAAGGGCTCAGTTTGAGCCGATTATCCACGCTGGTTCGTTCTCATAGATCGCAACAAATAGGTAATATGGGTGTCAAATCCCTTTCATTTATAACGATAATATTCATTATTATCCAACTGTGCTTCGTAGAGAACAAATAACGCCCGACATTTGTACTCCAGAAATACCCGCGAAATTTTCCCGCACTGAAATAACAATTTGGCGCAATATATAATTAGACGTTTTATTGAGTAGTATCGCTAGGTATTTTACTCGTTGTTTGTACTTATTAGACGTTTTATTACGTTGTATCGCTGAGAATTTTTAATCGTTGTTTCTACTTTGACTCGCCCTACTGGCTCGTCAAAATACGGCACAACTCGTAAAAATACTCAGCGATAATACACGACAAAAATTCTGATAAGATATATATACTCAAGTACTCAAGCATACCATTTTAGTCTCGTGGTGTTTCCAAGTAGTTGTTTCAGCACTTTTTTGTACTACCGAGCCAAGGAAATAGCGAGACGTACGCTTAACGCAATTAAACAAAACTGAAAAGGCTTTAATGAGTTCTTTCTTGGCGATTCATACTGATATTTCTAAATTTCGAGACCATTAAGGATGTCAATTTCACATAAACCTGTCAATAAACCTGGCGCATGGAGAAAAGTTTATCGGTCGATTTTATTACATCTTTCGTAGCTATTCAAATAGATACTTACGCATGCATCCCTAGCATCAACGTGACCCGAATCAATTTCTGATTAAAGAAAAGCGGCGAAAAAGCGATGCACTTTTTCCGAAATCGTTTCTTCGGACGTTGAAACTGCCTTTCGTCAAACATTAGGACAAGAACGTGGAAAAAAATAGATCTTATTAGCAGAACAATAGCCCAGCAGGTGCGTTATTAAACTTTGTACATTTCTTAGCCGTTCTATGCAAAACAACAACGTGAAATCGCCAAAATTTGCGTCGTCTGCGAATCGAAACCGCGACGGCAAATTAATTTAATTTCCTTTTGGAACTCAACGCTACTTCTATACGTCATGCTGAAGTTGAGCTGTGGCGCAGTATGAGACAGTACGGCTCATGCAGCCATTTTTTTAAATTCTGACCAAGAGTAAAAATTCATGTTTTAATCGAAGTCTTCCTTGGCGTTGCCGTCCTGACTGCTTAAGGTCCCATTTCTTTCTCGCGGGCTGCGACATTTGCCCAGTGGTGATCCCAAGAATCTTTGCGCAAACACAAGGATTCGATTTCTGGCAGCTCATTAATTCATCATCATCATCATTTATTATTGTTATTACATAAAAATGTACATTTAAAGTCGGACTGGCCCACATAGAGTCATGCTAGTCTAGGCGGGCCAGTCCATCAAAAGCTACAGTCCATTGTTAACTTATTACTACTGATATTAGTCATTTAATTTTATTCGAAGGATCAGGCAGCGGTCGTGTCGCGCATCATGTCAAGAGCATGAATTATGTAATGCGGAAAACCTACCTTGACCTTCAGGAAAAAATCAACGTCAGTCAGTTGATCTCGAAACTCGTCTCGACTAATTCAGCTAAAGCTTCCGAGGATTCAGTCTAACAATGCCCTTTAATTTAAAGCTTTTTGGGCCCATATTTATTATTCAAGTTTAACAAAGGCGACGAGAATTTTAACCGACTGACGTGGATAGTGACAAACTACTTTGAAATTCATTAATAGATTACCGACAGTTTGACCTCTTAAAATGAGCTACAGAGTTATACTTACCGGCAATATTCTAACATTGCCTATGAAATTTCCCATGAAGGTTTCCGGCTAACCCATGAAAAATAGCTTGGTCAAATCCTTGTGAGAATCACAATAATCAGCTTTTGGTCCAGAAGCGTTTGTGACGGGAGACTACGTCTGCAGATCAAGGAGTCAAGTCAGACAACTGTGATACTACTGAGGCAGCGGGCTTTATTCTCCTTTTGGTGTTTAGCGGGGTTTTCCCCTATCATGATTACTTTCAATTTATTATTGACCAAGAGAATATTTGTTTTGATGACTCATTGCGACGTACATCCAGCCATGCAGAGAAGACAAAAGATATGTTGTCTGGCGATCAAAGATTTATATATCTTATGTCAAAGTTCAAACCGAAGGGAATGAATTTATAATTAAAAAAATAATCTGCTGATGATATATTTCTCGGGGCGTTTGGCAAGCTCATAACTTTAAATTAATTTTTGTGAGAATTCCTACGTAAAGTACTTTGGTACAACTATCAAGAAAGATGCGCAGCGGTTTTTCGGTGCCTGTTTCTCTTGGGGTTTTTCCCTAATACGGGTTCTCATTGTTTTTAAGGGACTTTCCCTTCTATGTAAAGAGCTCGTTCACATGCATCCGTTTATAACTTGACGGGTTCACCTTTAGGGAAAATTCCCAGCGCGAAACGAAAATTAAATAAAGCGAACAATTTATTCGGCTCTATAAAAGCCTCGTAACCTTGTGCAGTAAGATTGGCAAAAGTCGTCCGCTGCATATTTATTTAATCTATTCATTCCCTGAGCAAGCCGGAATAAAGCCAGACTATGGGGAATAACAAGTCAAGAATGACATTGGTAAGTAAAATTTGCATCTCAGCTATATAGCAGACTAACGACTGATTGACTCTAAAGGCCGTGTTTTTCATCATGTTTCGGACTGGTTCACTCCAACAATAGACTTAAATCTATTTTGCTTCGATTAGGCTGGCAATGTTTCGTCCTCATGTACACATTGCAGGAGTGTAAATGTAAAATTGAAATCGCCAGGAATAGTGCATGTATGTTGAATTACCCACCTGCCTAAAACAGACATTAGAAAGACGCGGAAACTAACATTGAACGGATTTGTTACATTAAATCTGCACCAAGCGAACGGCTTAATAGTAGATCTGAATATTATTTCAAAGTGCTCACACTCTGAGCCCGAATTTTTTTTCCCGCCATTGAAAACGTGCATTCAGGCAAGTTATGGTGGCCTTCTCTGCCGTAGTTATTGTTTAATTTACCAGACAGCTTTCCCGAGAACTTTCGGTTCGATTACTATGTAGAGAGTGCAAACATGTTACAACTGAAAACTTAAAGCTGGACAAAGTGGCGTGAGAATTCCCTGAGAATCTTGCTGGCTAATAAAAGTATTTTTATTCGCTTTTTGTATAACAGGATTACCCAAGCGACATGATTTTAAGAGTTGATAAAGTATCATCGACAGTTCTCGGAAAAGAGATCATAAAGCGATGCGGAATCGAAGGACAGCATGGAAATCTCAATGAAGAAGACCAGACAACCTTAAGATTTCTGCGAGCTGCTATCTCATTCATCTCAAACGCAAATGACATGGGTGCCGATCTAACGAACGCTGCCTTCATCATATCGCAGCCAGGTAGAGAGTTTATTATTCAAGCTGGAAATGGCGATTGGGAGTTTTACTTTTCAGAGGACGCAAAGGATGTTGTACATGGCCACTGTGTTCGCAAGGGTCCCAAACACTGGTTTTCAGGCAGTAGTTGGAAAGAATGCGGTTCCTATGTCAGTAACCTTTTTACTGGGTGCTCACAGTCACAAAATACCACCGTTCAATGTAGCAATTACAATCGTCCGTTGGCCCTGACCTATGAAGTTCAGGAACTTACGTACAATGTTACACTTCCAGATGTGACGGAGGAAGAAACTCCATCAAACTCAGACTTAACTGACACCTCGAACCTTACAATGACTGCCAAATGAAGACGTCCGTATATACATTTAAAAGGATTGTTTGCTCCAAATACTAAAATAATCCCTCTCTTTCTCTTAGTTCAAAAAGCAACCTATAAAGAGTTCGAAGTATTCTCAAGTGTACTAAAATTTGACTTGCTATACCGCCCAGACCCCGCCATTTTGTAAAACCTAGTAACCTGGCCATATTTGCTAAAGCACCGCGCGGTTCTTAAGCAGCTGATGTTCTGGTCATTTCAAAATCTGGTCATTTGAGCCCAGAAGGCCTCTTTGTGAAGCTCCTAATTGTTAAAACAGTTCGTCAGGAGAATCGATAAGAGGGGGCGAGATGGCTGGGCAAGATTCAAAATGGCTACTATGCTGTCAAACACTGAAACATTTTAAGAAATTTTCAGTGGTAAAGGTCATTTTATAACAGAAATCACGTAGAGCGCACTCTGATTGGTCAGTTCAGGCCTTACTTTCGCTACTGCTTAAGTAGTGTTCATTACTGCGAAGATCGCCTTCATACTCATTTCAGTTTTTTCTATTTGCCCAGGGGTGTATGCTGCCGACCTGGGCAGATGTTTCCAAGTAGGCTAGTTTTTCCCAAGAAATTGTTTTTTATTTACAAAACAAATGGTAAACAACACATCGTACACTATTGAGTTATGGATACACTTAGGAGGTCTGCTATGCACTCAGGAAGTTAGGGTCGCCTCGAGCGACTCTTACGCTTCTTTCGCGCTTAGCAACCTCCTGCGTGCATTCCATGGCTCAATAGTGCGTGCTGTGGTGTTACGCATTTATTTACTTTGCAACCTCAAAACGCGGGAATCAGTTTATTCTTAGTTTATTCTTAAATCCATTTTTAAAGGCGGAGATATAGACAATATGTTTTTTAGACAAATAGATAACATTTTTGTCTCTCTGTTCATAAACGGATCACTTGCGTCAAATTTCGGCGTGAGAATAAACTGTGTCGATCCAGGTGTATGATTGTGTTACTGTCGTTCTCGCTACATATTAGGGACCTTAAGAAACCACGACGGCGACGCCAGGAAGACTTCGATTAAAAAATGAATTTCTACTCTTAGTTAGAATTTCAAAAATGGTTGCAGGAGCTTACTGTCTCATACAGCGCCACAGCTCAACTTCAGCATGACGTATAAAGTAGCCGTTGAGTTCCAAATGGAAATAAGAATAACTTACCGCCGCGGTTTCGGTTCGCAGACGACGCAAATTTTGGCGATTTCACGTTGCTGTTTTGCATAGGACGGCTATGAAATGTACAAAGTTTCAAAACGCACGTGCTGAGCTAATGTTCAGCCAATTAGATCTCTTGTTTTTCCACGTCCTCGTTGCCGTCCCCATCGTGGTTTCTTAATGTCCCTAGTGACGTCGTCTGTGATGAACTCAAGCCTTGATTTGAATATGTAAAGTATGAGCAGCACTAAGACTTAAGATCAAATACACTGATTTCTGTTATCTTAAGTATAAATAGTCTTATCAGCGCAAAACATCCATAATCTTTTGAGACGAAACAGGACAATTTTTCAAATTGAGTCAAAGAAACGTTGCAGGAAGCGCACCAAGCTTTCACTACGGTGGATGGACATTTAGCTGTAAAAGAAATAAATTCATGAATAATTTCCAGGGTTGTTCATTAAAAGTGAATGCTAACGTCGTTGCCTCGCTTGTCTCTCGATCGATGAACGTTTCGCGAGATTTGTATAAAAGTTACCAAACACCTTTCTTAGTATACTTATTGAACAGAATTGACTCCACCGAAGAAATTTGATCAGTGTCGTAAACAGGATGTTTCAAATTGTCAGATTATAGATATTTAAGTCATATGGCGGGTCAACAATGTGTTTTCCGTCGTAACCTTAACATGCGCGTGTTTCGAGTCTAACACGCAACCTTACGTGACAAGCGCCACGTGTGCTGAACGTGTACACTTTCGTGACAACAGAGCCGCACCCTCTCGTCACCAGGTTAATCCTTTAAATCCCAAGATCTACTGATTAATTCTCCCCTCTGACTGCTACACGTTTCGTTAAAAATCAATTAGGAGAATTTGATGTTAGGTCAAGACAACAACTTCCACCTTCTAAGTTTGAATATTCTCCTTACCTGTTTGCTGGTTGATGTATGGATATTAGAGGGAGAAGTTACATATTTATCACTTCCGGGAGTTGAAGGCTCGACAACATTACAGGGTTGCCAGAGGGTCACGTACAGTGTTCATAACCTAACAGACAAGCAGATAACATGGACAGACACACAAATCGAAAAAGCAGAATAAAGTGGCAACACACAATCATGTAAAGATCACTTGTGGGCTGTTTATTAAGCGTCTAATCAATACGAGACGCAGTGCTCTTCAACCCGAAGGAGGAAATCCAGAGATTATCAGACAGCAATTTATTCAGATCTGTTTCCACCGCGATACTGGGCAGTACGATGAAGTTAAGTCTTAAACCACATATATACGGGGTCCTTCACACATACATGCGCCATCCGTTTGTAAACAGTTCCTACTCCCCAGTTAAATAAAACACTCTGCCGGCTGATCTTCGAGGTAAAAGCGCTATAGGCAACTGATATAGCCAGATCTGGAGAAAATTCGCTTTCACAATCTGATTGATCCGTACAAAGCCATTAAAAAGTAATCACAAAAGAATCTCAACGCTTTGAGCAACAATATTTGGATCAGTGTCTGTATCTGAACAACTGCTCACCTACCCATCCCTTGGGCCCAGCATTAACCCTAACTTGTTATCAGTTGACAGGTGTTGAGTTAAGGGAGGGGTAGGTATGCAGTTGCTCAGATAGCAACACTAATCCCGACATTCAACCTATATTTAGACCAAACCCAAACCGAGCTTGATTCTTGGTATGATTCACCATGCCACTTAATCAAAACGTGAACGGCAATGGTGGAAGTCTCTTTTCCATTACAGCCGCCACTGTCCAATTTGTATCCAGCATTCCGCGAAATGTGAAATTAGCTTTGGGTACATCAATTTGATACCCCGCGCTCACCGAAGTATCACGGGCCCTTGTGTTGTATTCATACTCCACGCCAACCTTTACATTCTCGTTGCCCTTGTGCCAGTAACTCAAGTGCCATCCCGTTTGACCAACAGTCGCGGAGGCGATCCAATTATCTGCTGTATATCGACCGGCACAGGACATCATGGCCATTTCCTGACCAGATCCGTAGTGGTAAAGCAATTCGCCTCCTACGTCGATGCGTGGAGCCATTCTTTGAAGATAGTGTCCCACAAGGATACCAGAACTATTGAGTATATCTACATTACCAGCCGTCAGACTTGCAGTGAAATCATCTCCACGGTATTCAGCATCACTTTGGACAAGAACCCACACTGATTTTTGAGTCTGCAAAAAAAAATATCACTGATACATCACTGTTGAGTTCACCTGTAACTGTTCCCTCTTTGTTTTCTAATCTCACTGATTTTCAGTCTAATATATGTACCAAAATGTCACGTCTGTACACACACAGTGTACACCAGAAGTAACAGCCGCTAGCATTTTCACTGGCTACCTGTTTGTGAAGGACCTCTACTTGAACATGTAAATTAGCATCTAGATATGAAATTACTTTTGACTTGAGTTCAGCCAAAAAAAAAAGCAATTTACATGGATTACCTGAATCACCATTTTGCCTCGGATTCTGTTGGTAAACTGATGAATCATTTGGGCATTAAGGCTACCATTTGTATCAATGTCTCCAAGCAACACAGGAAATGCCTAAAATTATGAACAGAACAGAAAAGTAAGAGACATTTTTTAACACGGAGGACACACGAGGCATGGTGCCAGAAGCAGTGACCAGATGGTTCGTGTGCTAAACTTTGGGTTGAGAGGTCTGGGTTCTAGATCTGCTTGGGTCCTGGGTTCTAGATCTGCCTGGGTCCTGGGTTTTAGATCTGCCTGGGTCACTGCGCTGTGTTCTTGGGCAAAACAGTTTACTCTCACCGTGCCTCTCTCCACCCAGGGGTACTAGGGGTACCAGCAAATTTTCAGGGAAGTCAGATGAAATCCTGGGAGGTGGGGTGGGAGTAAACTTGTCATGGACTGGCATCCCATCTAGGTGGGTTGTAATGCTCCTTGTATTAATTAGCCCAAGTACAGACTATACCAACAGAGGCAATACAACAATAGGTAATTTTACAGTTGTGCACTTAGTTGCCAAGCCTTTGATTTGGAGTGAGGCTGAAGGTGACCTTGTTGTGATAGAGACCAGTATCTAGCTGACATAATAAAAAAGTAATCTACATTTGAAAAGCAGCAATGTCTGTATCATAACAAGGTCACCCTTAGCCTCACACCTGTTCAAAGGCTTAGCAACCAAGCACACAACTGTAAAATGGACTATTGCAAACATTACTTATCTTAAAAACAGTCTGAGGTGTTAATTTACCAGGGGTTTCACTAAGGGCCAGGCACCGGGCAAATCAAAGAGTTGTGAGGATGGTTTTGCCAACCTGGTTTGACAATCTGAAGGAAAGTTTATCTTATAAAGAAGTTCAATTCAAAAAGTTTCCCCCGCCTGTGTCAACCAGTTGCCCTCCTGCAGAAAATGTTAATGAAACCCCTGATTTACATCAGCAAACTCATTTGTATTAGTCCTTCGTCATAATCACCTCGTTAGGACCTGTCTGCTTATTTCCTACATAGGTGGCTCCAAAATGATATGCCCCAGGCCCCATGCTACTGAGCAGAAGGGTGTGGCTGACTTGGAAGTGATTGCTTAAGCCTTTATTGATGACCAGTTTACAGCCCTCAAATGCTTGGGGGAAAACATCTGGAAAAATTCAAATAAGAAAGTGCATGATTAGTATTAAGAAAGATTTATAAGTGGCATTGTTGAGTTATATTAATTAATTACCCGTAGTTATCAGTCAGTTACTGGTATCAAAATTTTCCTGCTTTATTATTGACAGTTGTAGAACAAACATATTCTGAGTCGATGAATTTTGAATGTATGAAAATCACGTATGTGTACTGCGGTTTCATGAAATGTATGAAAGCGATCTATTTGTTAAAACTATGATGGAAGTTCAATCATAAACAGCCAACAACATCACTGTTCTTTCAGTAGAAATTTACCCAGACGAGTCTACAATTTTAAACTAGTACCCCAATCATACTAAAGTTTAAACATGTTTTAAAGTTATTTAGTTAATCATGGTTTAAATTTTTATTTTCTGTGTAAAAGCTGCATAGTCCAAAATTAGTCAACTTTCAACATAGCCCATTGAAAATACAAGTTAATGAATGATTGCATGCTATGGAAAATTCAGTTTTCAGTTCTCTGTTTATGGTTTTCGTTTAAAACCACCTCCAGGTTAGCTCAATTGGTAGAGCACCGGACTGTTGTGCGGGAGGTCATGAGTTCAAATCCGGCCGGACCAACACTCAGGGTCTTAATAACTGAGAAGAAAGTGCTGCCTTTGTAATAATATCTGCAAATGGTTAGACTTTCTAGTCTTCTCGGATAGGGATGATAAATGGAGGTCCCATCTCACAAGCCTTTGTATGTGATAAAAAAATTTGTGGGACGATAACGAACCCACACACTGTTTGAAAAGAGTAGGGCACGTAGTGCCCAGTGTTGTGGTCTATCTTTGTGTAGTGTCTATCAAATTGATGGGGGATACTGCGCCTTTGAATATTGTATAGAAAGGGCGCAATATAAATAAGGAATTCATTCATTCATTCATTTAGTTGAACCCAGTTTAACTAATGATGTTTTGCTGGTGTGAATACAGCATACATGATTTTTCCCAAAAAGTCTCTTAAACTCTTGTTCACCCTTTCATTCTCTCGAGCGATGTGATGAGAGGAGAGACAAATATCTACTAAGGAATTAATTTGATTAGAAACCAAATTCTCACAACTAAAATTATGTGAAACATGTGGTACAAAAGGGGAAGAATTGTTTGGAAAGATTTGTACATTTTGCACAGGTGGGAGAAGAATAAGACACGTAGTCCCCTACTAGGTTCCCCCATCTAAACCCAACCCACCCCAGGGAAGGACATCCATCGCACAGTAATCTTATGCGTGGGAAATTAACATCTCCTACCCCTAACCCTGCAGGAGACAGGACCTCCATTTATTAGTCCCTATCCGAGATGACTAGAATATCTAACCATTTCTTGATGTTATAGAAAGGTAGCACATTCTTCTCACTTGTTTTAAGACCTTGAGTGTCAGTCCGGCCGGGGCTCGAACCCTCGACCTCCCGCACAACAGTCCAGCGCTCTATCCATTGAGCAAACCAGGAGGTGGTTTGAATTGATATCTAGGCAGTAAAAAGGTTATGCCAGATGTTCCTTTTGATAATCTAAGGTTATGTTTGGTTCCAAGGTTGTGCTCTAAGAAAAATTGAAGGGAGTCCAGTGCTCCGAAACTGTGAAATCCAGGGTGACCAGTAGATGCTTTTTATGAAAAAACTAAGATTCCTGAGTTGCCTAAGAGCAAAAGTAAGGCACCTGGGGCCACTGGATGCTGATAGACCACAGCCCTAGGTTCACAAACCTTCTGGGAATTTTGTAGACGGAGTGTCTCTCTAATTTCCTCTTTCCTTAGAAAGTACATTTCACCCTTTGACTTCCAAGATCTCATTAGAAATTCTCCTTGATGTCTGCCATACAATTCTTATAATGTCAGTTTAGAGAATTTTGTATTGGATCAGCTAAAAGTCCCTTGATTGATAAGTTTCTTTATTCTCATCTCTTGTCTGCTTAATATTGTATTGATATTGTTAGGAGAAATTCCTTCTTGGTCACCCAAGGTAATTGATCTTTCATAGTGCTGATGATAGTACATGAGTATTAACCGCCTCCTGGTTAGTTCAACTGAATGAATGAATAACTTTATTAACGTGTCAATCGTTCTAGTTTTTACGAGTAAAAACTAATTGGGGACACCTACTAAGTGAACTGATCTAATAATTATAATAATAATAAGAAGAAAAACTATGTACAAACAAAATAAAATAGATAAAATTAAGTTTTACATAACTCACAATTTTCACAATTATTTTTCGATATAACATTTGATAGGTCAAGGACTCTGACTTGGTTTTTAAATGCAGTTAGAGAGTCAGCCACTTTGATTGATTTGTGGAGCTTCGACCAAAAATAAGGTCCCATGTACCTTAAGCTATGTCTTCCGTATGTAACCGTGTTGTATCTTGATAAGGAGAAATCGTCTGCGTTCCTAAGATTGTACCTACTTACGCCGCAACTAAAAAGTTCGGAAATATATGGTGGGACTAAATTAGTCTTAACTTTATACATAAATATAGCCATGTCCTGGAGTCTGCGATTACATAACGTTGGAAGTCTTGCTTTACACAACTGCTTTATTAGAATACTGATGAACTTAATATACATTGATAGATATATGGATAATCCTGTGACTGCGGCTAAGGGTATGCTATAGAGTCCAGAGTATGTAATAGCTAAGGTATCTATCCAATAGGAACAAACGACGATCAAGGACGATCAAGGATGGATAGCCATTGCTGACTAGCACGCATGTTTATCACTTTGAAAGTTGTGAAAACATCGTCCTTCGGTTCAAGAACTCATCAATTCTCCCCCACTACACCGGGACTGGTCCCTAAATCCCCTTGAATAGACTCTTCGACAGCGAGCGCTGAAAAGTTTCAAGTGAAGGGCTGTAAAGTAAACTATTTGGAGCTCCGCTTTTAGGCTGGGCTAAATCTATATGTTAAAAGACAGTGCTCACAACATTACAAGAACGCTGCACACGAACAGCACACGACAGAACAACGTGGAGAAAGCTTGCGTCCACATCCATAATCCCCTAGCTACCTTCAGTCATGAGTATGGGAACAGCTAGCAAAGCCAGGCGAATCCCAAGCAAGTTTACTTCATTTGAGACGGATCTTCAACGAGATTATTGTATTAGCATTCTTCGTTTTATATCAGCTTACAATGTGAAACCTCAGCTTTAGAATAGAAAAAGACACGATATTCTAGTTTTACTTCGACATCACCCTGTCCCAGTTATCGCATGACAACAGCTGTTTTGGAGTAAATTCGAACAGGCCACTTCCGAGTTCTCGCGGTTCAGAAATCTAGTAACGAAATTAGGGCACGATAACGAGGCTAAGTTCGAAGTCATTCTAATTGAAGGCCTGGCAATTTTCCCTCATATATTTTGAACTGCGGTTATAGATACGTATGATGCACTATCCTCGCAGTAGAGAGTGCTATTTATGCAATAGCGAAAATCATACGTATCTATAACCGCAGTTCAAAATATATGAGGGAAAATTGCCAGGCCTTCAATTAGAATGACTTCGAACTTAGCCTCGTTATCGTGCCCTAATTTCGTTACTAGATTTCTGAACCGCGAGAACTCGGAAGTGGCCTGTTCGAATTTACTCCAAAACAGCTGTTGTCATGCGATAACTGGGACAGGGTGATGTCGAAGTAAAACTAGAATATCGTGTCTTTTTCTATTCTAAAGCTGAGGTTTCACATTGTAAGCTGATATAAAACGAAGAATGCTAATACAATAATCTCGTTGAAGATCCGTCTCAAATGAAGTAAACTTGCTTGGGATTCGCCTGGCTTTGCTAGCTGTTCCCATACTCATGACTGAAGGTAGCTAGGGGATTATGGATGTGGACGCAAGCTTTCTCCACGTTGTTCTGTCGTGTGCTGTTCGTGTGCAGCGTTCTTGTAATGTTGTGAGCACTGTCTTTTAACATATAGATTTAGCCCAGCCTAAAAGCGGAGCTCCAAATAGTTTACTTTACAGCCCTTCACTTGAAACTTTTCAGCGCTCGCTGTCGAAGAGTCTATTCAAGGGGATTTAGGGACCAGTCCCGGTGTAGTGGGGGAGAATTGATGAGTTCTTGAACCGAAGGACGATGTTTTCACAACTTTCAAAGTGATAAACATGCGTGCTAGTCAGCAATGGCTATCCATCCTTGATCGTCCTTGATCGTCGTTTGTTCCTATTGGATAGATACCTTAGCTATTACATACTCTGGACTCTATAGCATACCCTTAGCTGCAGTCACAGGATTATCCATATATCTATCAATGTATATTAAGTTCATCAGTATTCTAATAAAGCAGTTGTGTAAAGCAAGACTTCCAACGTTATGTAATCGCAGACTCCAGGACATGGCTATATTTATGTATAAAGTTAAGACTAATTTAGTCCCACCATATATTTCTGAACTTTTTAGTTGTGGCATAAGTAGGTACAATCTTGGGAATGCAGACGATTTCTCCTTACCAAGATACAACACGGTTACATACGGAAGACATAGATTAAGGTACATGGGACCTTATATTGGGTCGAAGCTCCACAAATCACTCAAAATGGCTGACTCTTTAACTGCTTTTGAAAATGAAGTCAGAGTCCTTGACCNTTTTGTTAAGATCGCTGTGATCGTAAATCAAACCTAACAGCATATTTCCACGTAGTATTACCTAATTAAATTTAGTTACACACCGCGAGATGGGAAATATCGAAGCTAAACTTGTACAAACTCTTCGCAAAATCTTTAGAAATCGCGAAGAACAAACAGCTGTAAAAATAGCTAAATAAGCTCCAGGATCGCCTAATTAAGATTTAAGACAAATTACATAACAAGACTAGGCAAATGCGTAAAGAGCCGGTCAAATTTTTACGAAGACTGGCGAACTTTACCCTACCTTTGCACGATTTGTGTAGATCTTCATACGTTCCAGGATTGCTGTTGGATGGTTTTTCAGCCGGTTGCGGCTTTGGTTCCACAGGGGGAGCTGCCGTGAGAGGTGGCGGTGGCGGCATCGACCCAACATTGCCGGGAGATGAGGGATTTGACGGTGAAGCCGCTAGTACGTTCCCCATCTTTGATCGTGTGAACCATGTGCAAATGCTAATGTAACGCTCTGATTGGCTCTTCGATATATTGGCGGCCATATTAGAACGAGAGAGACTGGGCTTCGTTCAAATGAGCCTGCAGTTTTCGTACTGCGGATACCTGAGAAAACGTGTGTTCGATATTCCGTGACACTGCGAGATTATCGCAAGTATTGCCGAAATTTTGGGAAAGTTTCAAAGCTTTACTTCAAATTTTGCTTATGTTTGGTTCAATTGATGGAAAAACAAAAAGTTGAACCCCTTTTCAAAGACATCGATGCCGATGACGAACCCCAAACCCAGGCAGTGGAAAGTTTGTGCATGAACTGCCACGAGAACGTGAGTCTAAAAAAAAATACTTTATATAATTTTTTTACTCACTAAATGATGTAGTGAAACTTAAATGCTTTTCTTTCAAAAGTATCAAATTTTAATTCATTATTTCATGACTGATATACCATAGGTCGGTCTTCATAGTACAGTACTGATTAAATATTGTACTGTACAATTCTGTTTTTTAAATATACCTACTCGATCTTTATTGACTACCGAGATCTCGGTAGAAATTCTGCCTCCAATGGGAATTTAGAAAAGATCAGTGTTGGGATTCGAAAAAGTGTCTCCTGATCGGCTGTTCAAACCTAGCTGTTTTTGATTTGTAAACTACGTTTTATTCCAGTTTTCTTTTAAATTGGTGAATTTGATGTACTATCACTGTAAGGTGAAAAAAAAAAGTGAAAAATAATCTCCAAGGGACACATGCAGTCTTGGACTGAAATGATTTATGACATATTGGAGCTCAATTTATTTTTTGTTAAGAACTGAGGTGATTAACTTGTACATGCCCACTTGTAAGTGACTCAAGTTTCATTACAATGGGGAGGA